CGCAAGAGTCTCCACTATCCACCTCCTCCAGTACCAGTCACAATCCTGTCGCCAGTCGATCGGTGGTAAGCTATCCCCAGACTCCCCTCCGCGATCGATCTCACCTCACCTCAATCCCATGTCCACACCGAGCTTTCTTGCCAGCAGAGACAGGCAGCCACCTTCCCTCGGACCGAGGGTCCAACAGCTGTACTGTAGGCTGTATCCATGACAGGAGGTAGGGTCTGAGGCGCGGCTACCTGCTGCATCCTGCATCATCTTCGCCGGATTCATCGGTTTCTGGACGCGTCCGAGCGAGCGCCATGGAGTCTGACTTTTCATCCATCGACTATCAGCCAGGAACCGCTTGCCTAGTCGTCTGTTTTCTGTTGGAGCAGAGCGCCTCGGGATTGATTACCCTTGTTCCTGGGGATTGGGATCATGAGGATTGGAATTCGGGGGTGGTTTTTAAAAGTTGCTGGTTTGGATGTTGTGAGGGATGTGATAAGGTCTTGTTGTTGTGGATTGAATGGTTGATGGAATGGTTTTAGGGGGTTTGTGGTGCGCTGCTGGATCATGGTATACATGCTTGGGGTTGTGGACACGGAGGTCTGGAGTAATTGGTTTGGGGGGGGGGGTTGCTGCTGGGTCCATTGCTGGAGTATAAGGGGTGAGTGGGGCTCGCGAGATGGAGACGTCAAGGTTTTTGGATATGGGTTGAGTGTTTCTGTGTATAGAGTATGGAGATGGTGAGGATTGGGTTAATGGTCTGGGTTATGTGTGATTCGGGATATTTGTGAAGATATTAATGTGAGCGTGGGTGCCTTGTTCGGGTTAATGGTATAGGGTTGGGGTTTGGGGTTGGGGTTGGGGTCGGTGGGGATTGAGGATAGGGTGAGTTGCTGTAGAAGGGATTCAAGCTCTTGATTAGAACCTGTCTCCAGTTCTGTTTGTACTTTCCTGGGGTACTGGAAAGGATAATAAGGTACTGAATTAAGGTGGTGATTGGCATCTACTCGACAGTGCGGATGCTCGGAGCGGACGATATGTGAATAGCCTCACTTCTACAACACTTTTAGGAGTGCAGTAAATCACCAAGTATAGAATCTACAATGCACACCTGATTTGGTATATAACTTATTGGTGCTAGGAGTGCCTACCATCCAAACATACGCAATGCACCTTTTCAACCACCCTGAAGCCCTCCCACCTCCGACCAGACAGTATCACACCACCATTCAACTCAACGACTATATCATCCCAACCATCCCTCAACTCCAGGCGCCACGCACCCTCTTCCCTTCGGATTCTTCCATGTGAGCCAGACAATAATCCACAGCGGTGGCGTTCCACCCCGACCAACCCTATCTCTCCCAACCGCTGTTATCTCTCGCCAATCATCCCGTCTGGATACCCTCCACGCAACCTCCTTATCACCGCATGGCCCTGCATGCTTCTGTCTACAGCACTAAACCCCAGAAGGCGCACTGATCCGGGGTCCCCATCTGGGATCCAATCGATGCAACCGCAGCCTAGGAGCCCGTGGATCCGCATACCTTATCAGTTCGGTATACAGGCGATCCCTGGCCTTGGCATTGTGATATCATCTGGCCCACGGCCGATTACAGTCATAGCAATCACACCGCACGGGTTGCGATGTTGCTGCTGCCAAGGGGGTATTTGATAGGGCTGGGTCCTCGCGGGAACTGTTCTGCTGCTTTCGGTGGGAATTGATAAGGATCCTGGCTTGGCATGAGTCCCACGATCGGAATCGTTGGAGGAGCACTGTGGAGCCGCGCGCGATTGATGGCGACAGGTGGACGGGTCTGAGTCAGGCCAAGAAGATGTAAGGTTCGAATTATTACATATCGCTGCTTGGAGCGAGGGGCAGGGGGTGGATCTATATATACTGTGGGGGTGTCTTTCCCTTGCCAGCGTGACAAGAACCGGACGTAGTGGGATATACTCCCTGTTGTTTCACAATCTTGGTATAATTCATCTGTCCGACATGGCTGCGGTAAGTGGAAGGTCCCCGCTGTGGTTTGTTCTTTGTTCTCGTTTGATGTCAAAACTGATCGTCTTCTCGCGAACAGCCAGTCTATAATGCTTCGATGCCCGAGGGCGGCGACCCGCTCACGGTCGATGTCAACGCCCAGTTTGTGGGGTACGAGTACAATTATGTCTACATCGTCGCGTGCACCTTTATCGTCTTCATGATCCTGCCGGGCATTGGCTTGTTGTATAGTGGTTTGACGCGGAGGAAGTCTGCGATGGCCTTGCTGTTCCAGGCTTTCATGGTTCTTGCGGTGTGAGTTTGCGCCCGCTGCAGGTATTATGTGATATGTTGCAACCCCCGTGCTGATTCTCCTGCAGCTCGACCTTCCAGTGGCTATTTTGGGGGTACTCGTTGGCCTACTCGAGAGACGGAGGCCCATTCATTGGCACGCTGAAGAATTTCGGCTTGATGGAGGTCCTGGTAGCCCCATCGCCTGGCTCGGCCGTCCTGCCAGAAGTCGTGTTTTGCCTGTTCCAGCTGCTCTTTTGCGCATGCACAGTGAGACTCCCCTCCCAATCCGCCTCCGCATAGTCAGTGCTAAAAGCTAGACAGGTGATGATCGTTGTTGGTGGTACTTTTGAGAGAGGCGCGATCCTCCCTTCGCTCATCTTCAGCTTCTGGTGGGCTACGGTCGTCTACTGCCCGTTGGCTCGCTGGACCTGGAGCAGTAACGGATGGCTGTACAACCTTCCTGCCATTGACTTTGCGGGTGGCGGTCCGGTGCATATCGCGTCTGGTGTCTCGGCCTTAGCCTATGCTTTAATCCTCGGCAAAAGGAGAGATTACGGAGCACCGTCTTTCCGCAAACCCCACAACACCACGCTCATCTTTCTGGGAACCGTCTTGATTTGGACTGGCTGGCTTGGTTTTAATGTAAGTGTCACGCATGGTCTAGTGGCTTGCATGTGGTCTAATCTTTGAGGAATGCAGGGCGGTTCAAGTCTCAATGCGAGCATGCGTGCCATGGTGGCCGTCTTCAACACCAATACAGCTGGATGCACAGGTATCCTTGGCTGGGTCTTGGTGGATATGATCAAGCATCGAGGGAAGTTCTCTATAGTTGGTGCTTGTGAAGGTGCGATCGCCGGGTTGGTCGGAATCACCCCGGCTGCCGGCTGCGTGTCGTTCTGGCTCGCTGCCTGCATTGGGTTCATCACCGCGGTTGTCTGTTCCCTTCTTCAGAACGTGAACGAGTGGATCGGAGTCGATGAAGGCTTGGATGTTTTCAAGCTCCACGGCATTGGTGGAATGGTGGGCGCGTTCCTGACAGGCTTGTTCGCCAGCCAGAAGATCTCGGCCCTCGATGGCAGCAGTCTGGCGCCCGGAGCGATCGATGGAAACGGAGTGCAGGTTGGAAAGCAAATAGCGGAGATCTGCGCTATCTCCAGCTATTCGTTCGTGGTGACCTGCGCTCTGCTGTTGATTCTCAAGTATATCCCGGGCATGAACCTTCGGGTCAGTGAGGACGCCGAGTTGTTAGGGTTGGACTTGACCGAGTTCTTCGACGAGCAAATCGGGGATTGGTCGATCACTCAAGGAGGTGCCAGTCCTACCTTGATCGGAGTGTCGCAGAATTCATCCGGCTCCATCACCAAGGAGGAGTGCCAGGTGAAGGGAAGCGGGGTATAGACTCGCTGCGGAGTGCAATGTGCATTGTTTATTTTTGTGTTTAAGTTCAACAACTTGATTTCGGAGCGTTTGCCGATCTCTATGCCTGCAACTGCGGGAAATCGATAGACTGAGCAGCAGCAACAATGTGGTAGATTGTTTAGACGCGCGGCCTCCGATCGTCCACCGTATCGCGTTATTTGCATGGGTTGCACCACGAGATTCATAGCTGTAAGGTATTATTGGGTGTTGCTGTTTCTGACCGTGTTGGTTGTAGGCCGGGCCTGAGATGTCAAGCTCGGGCCGGATAAGCGGAATGATGCCATATCACCCCCGTCGAGCGACAACAGCCTGGCAGGGTACGGTGGAGAGGGCTATGGAGCTCCGGAGCTAAATCCGGATATATCGTCATCGTCACCAGATAACTAGGGAGAAATAGCCATGGCAGTCCAATGCAGGCGGGATGATCGGATACATCCGACGACCCTTGGTGTTCTCCAGTATAAAGAGATGGCTGGTTGGTGTCAGGCGTCCAACCGAAGTGAAGATGGAGTTGATACGGGAGAGAGAGGACAGTGCAGGTGGGTGGAAGAGGGGCAGGCTGTGGATGAAAGTGGGTGGTCGAGGAACCAATCACCAGCCAAGGCGGTGGAACAAGGCGTGCAGAGCTTACGTCAACCCCGGCCGGGGTATTTTCGTTGATTCATACATACTGTGTAGTACATTCTTGGACCAGGCAGGTCGAGACCCTTCCTCTTAATCTCCCGAAGATGTTAGGTAGATTGCCATTATCTGGGTGAAGCTGAAGAAGACATCTACTGGGAAAGATAATCAATGAGAGTCAATCTCATCATCGATCTATAATTAACCTCATCAAACGGCTTCCAATACGAACTCCCTACGGGTTAAAGTTGGAAGGGAAACGTGGTGCACTCCGTCTTCTACCTTTGTATACGCAAGTCTGGCCACTTCCCGACCATTCCCGGATAGGCTTAAAGGCACTCGTCCTGCATCCGTTCCCGTCTTATCGGCCTGCAAACCTTTTCGGCCGTTTTCCCTTCGTCTGCTCCCTCTCCAAACTAAATCATCAATCACTCACCCCTTCTCCTCCTCCTCCTAGACTACCATTCTTCACCTCCCCACTCCTCATTTCTCCCTTTACACTCCCTCCTGGTTCCGTCAACTTCCACTCCTGACTCTTACTTTCGGATTGGATCTCGGTTCCTCTCTACCTTTGACTTTCTACTTCATCTTGCCTCCTCGTAGCAAGAGCCATTCGTTTGTCACCCACTGTTCTTCCCGTCGACTGTCGCATCTCCCTTATCTGCGACCGGCTCCCCGCCCGGCTCCCCGTACCTTTTGCGATCACAACATCCACACCTTGCTTCGCACACCTTTCGACTGCTGACAACAATCGCTATCTATTTTCCCGCTGGTCGCTGACGCCGAGGTGGACATGCGGCTCGGATTGTTCACTCATCTACAATACTAATCATAATACCACCGTTGCGATCCCGATGGGCAAATGTAAGTTGCCGGTCGCCTTCCCCCCGCCGGAAGTGGATTTCCAGGGTGCTAATGCAGGGTCTCATAGGGCGCTATGGAGTCGTCCTGGACGCAGGCTCGTCTGTATGTTGAACACTGGTGGGCTCGATAAGTATTACGGTCGCTAATGCCTCGACAGGGGACTCGAGTTCATGTCTATCGATGGCTAGACAACGCCATCGCTCGCAAAGAGGCTGACGGAGATAAGCTCAAGTCTCTCCCGGAGATCAAAACAAAGTCCCATTGGACCAAGAAAATTCACCCAGGTACAACCTCCAGGAAGCGGTGGACGTTCGCAATTCGTATACTGGACTCACACTCATCTCTCGTAGGAGTATCCTCGTTCGCCAACAAACCGGAAGATGTAGGACACGAACACCTGGCAGAACTTCTCGAACATGCCCGTGAAATCGTACCCGATGATGCCATCAAAGACACCCCGATCTTTCTCCTTGCCACTGCCGGTATGCGCCTGCTGGGCGATGTCGAAAGGAAGGTCCTACTGAAGCAGATTTGCTCATACGTCGGCGCGAATTCGGATTTCTTGCTTCCCGACTGCGACGTTCACATCCAAGTTATCCCCGGAGTGACGGAAGGGTTGTACGGTTGGATCGCCACGAACTATCTGCTCGGAAGCTTCGACTCGCCGGGGTCCCACGATCACGGCAAGGGTCACCACACGTATGGGTTTTTGGATATGGGTGGCGCATCGGCACAGATCGCGTTCGCGCCCAACGCGACCGAGAGCGAGAAGCACGCGAATGACCTGACGCTACTGCGGCTGCGCAACATCGACGGATCGGACCAGGAACACAGGGTTTTCGTCACTTCATGGCTGGAGTTCGGGGTGCATGAGGCTCGGAGGCGCTTTGTAGAGTCTCTGCAGGCGGCCAGTGCTGTTGGAGGAGTCACGGAGCTCCCGGATCCCTGTTTACCTGCAGGATTGCGTACGACGCTTGATGGAAAGCCCCTGCCCCCAAATGACGACGGCATCCATTTATTGGGGACTGGAAAGTTTGATGAGTGCATGCGTCAAACATATCCTCTGCTGGACAAAGATGCGCCTTGTCCGGATCAGCCATGTCTCCTCCGTGGTGTGCATGTACCAGCCATTGACTTCGACGTAAACCATTTTGTCGGGATCAGCGAGTACTGGCATACGACTCACGAAATTTTCGAGATGGGCCACAAGGACAAAGCCTACGACTTTCACACCTACCAGGATCGCGTGCAGTCGTTCTGCTCCCAGGATTGGGCGAGCATTGAGGCTGGACTTGAAAGCCATCAATGGGGGAAGAAGGTCGATCGGGAATCAGCCTCCGAGGTTTGCTTCAAGGCATCATGGATCATCAATGTATTGCATGACGGCATTGGGATCCCTCGTGTAGGGTTGGATGCAATGAAAAGCTCGAACCACAACGGGACCAAGGAGGTGCTGTCTCATGGTCAAAGCAAAGGCTTTCTCGACTCATTCCAGGCTGCCGACAAGATCCAAGACACGGAAGTGAGCTGGACACTCGGAAAGATGGTTCTGTATGCATCCTCGCAGATTCCCATCGAAGCTCAAGAGGCACTCCCAGTTGGGTTCGGCAGCAATGTTGCCGGGGTCCCTGCCGACTTTCAATATCCGAGTGCCGAGCTGTTGCCCGATCCTGAAGGCGCACACAACGGATCATGGCGCGACGCCATGCTCGACAGCAGCCCGTCCCGCAGAGTGCCCGGTCTCATTCTCTTCCTGCTTATAATAGTCGTGGCTGCATTCTTCCTCTGCGGACGCAGCCGCCGACTCAAGATGTATCACAAGATCCAGAACGTCTTCGGTGGCGGTGGGCCTTCTCACCCCAGCTACCCCAAGAAACGGAGAATCTTCGGCGGCAAGCTGCCTTTCTTCGGCCCAAGAAGCCCCACCTATGAGCGCGTCCTCGAGGATGGCGCTGCTGCCTATGATCTCGGTGAGACCGCGTCCAGCCGCAGTTCCATCGATGGGGGACGTCCATCGGAAGCAGACTCCACGAAATTCTTGGCGCCGAAGCGGGCATCGAGCTGGGGAAGTGGGAGCAATACACCCACGTTCAAGTATGCGCTGGACAACTCATCTTCAGGGACTATTGGACTCGGTATTACCCCGAGTCCGGGTGTCTCGGCGATGGACCGACATGGTCTCGTGGTGAGGACGGAGAGTAGGGATCATCTGGCGCCGGTAGCACTGGGTCCGACGACGAATGGTCGCCGGTCCAGAGCTGGCAGTCCTTCTCGATCTCACCCCAACAAATCCCCAGTCATGACCCCTCTCACAGATGAATGATCTTTCTGTATGATTATGTTTATGTCTCCGTGTTGCATTTCCAGGAGTTGGTGTTCCCCGTTGTCAGGCCAGGACATGGATTGGAGTTGGTCGTGTAATTTCCGGAGTTGCTTCTTGGTACGATATTGTCGGGGCATGTGCTCTTGGGTACATAGTTGCTCTGTTCGAACCATTTGTCAAAGTATCAGACATAGCCGGTTTAGTCAATGCCAGGTGCAAACATTTACTTTCATGAAACCTTTTGAATCTGGGCATGGATACTGGGTACTGTAGAGAACAGCGTCACGTGCGCAAGGGTGTAAATGCTGAGTCAGGTGCTCACCGCCCCGGCAAAATCCTCAGTGGATTGTGAAGCCGGACAGGGCCAGTCGCAGCGGAGCTCCCGACTCTCATCCTGTTGTCATCAGCCACCGAAAAGCTTGCTATTTGCTGTCGTGTTCAATCCCGCTTCTTCCGATTTTTGATTGTTTACTTCGTGTTTCACGCGCATGATACCCTGTTTCAAACCGAGACCACACATCCACCGCCACCATGCGATTGACCGTCGAACTGATCCAAAATTCCCTCTCGTACATCAACCCGCTCAAGGACCGCGAGCTAGATCTCCGAGGTGCGTTTTTTTCACGGACCCCCCCCCCCCTCCACACCAACTGGTTCCCTTTCCCCGGAAATCTGAAAAGTCAGATACTACATCTTGTCTAAAGGAGCTGGATTGATATCGAATTGGTGGCGCGATTGGTGGTATGTAGGGCACAAGATCCCCGCGATTGAGAACCTGGGTATTGCCAAGGTGAGTTTGACCCCAGGCCCCAAGCCCCAAGCCCTCAAATATGTCCGGCGTCGGGATGGGACATGCACGAAGTTGAAGCACGAGCTAACCGGGGACTTCATCGGGTAAAGGACCAAGATGCAATCGACCTCACGGACAACGACATCACCACGCTCGGCAACTTCCCCTTCTTCCCGCGGCTGCACACCCTCCTCCTGGCGCGGAACCGCATCAAGCAGATCCAGCCGACGCTGGCGGCGTCGGTGCCAAACCTGACGGCCGTGAACCTGACGGCGAACGCGGTGGCGGAGCTGGCGGATCTGGACCCGCTGCGCGGGATGACTGGGTTGACGCATTTGGTGGTGTTGGAGAATCCGGTGACGAGGAAGGAGGTTAGTTCATCCCTTTGTTGTTTGTTTCAGGGGATCGGGGTTGGTGGGGTGGGAGGATGAAGCCATTCATGTTTCTTTTACCGGGGGCGGGGGGGGCGGGTTTCTGTCTTCGATTTCGGTATGCTAATCTCTGAACCCGGTAACAGCACTACCGCCACTACCTCGTCTGGCGCATCCCCAGCCTGCGGTTCCTGGACTACCAGAAGGTGAAGGACGCGGAGCGCGAGAAGGCGACAGAGCTGTTCGGCACGGCCGACGAGCCCTCGGCGCTGGCCTCGAAGATCATGGGCGTCAAGTCGCGGACGTTCGACGTGCCGGCCTCGGCGCAGCAGGCCGGGGCCGCCGGCGGGGACCGCGCGGTGCGGGTGAAGCTGACGGACCGGGAGCGCAAGCGCGTGGAGAAGCTGATCCGCGAGGCCAAGAGTCTGCAGGAGATCACGCGGTTGGAGCGCGAGCTGAACGAGGGCCGGATACCCGGGGGTGCGGTGGATTATGCGGATAGTGGGGATGAGATGGAGACTTAGTTGGAGGGGGTTTGTGTCATGTGGGTTTATTGTATACGGTTATTGTTTTAATGGAGTGTGGTTTGGTTTGGTTTGGTTTGGTTTGGGTGGTTTGGTGGTATTGTGTAGAGGTCTTTTGTATGAAGGATATCTCGTGGTTTAGGGGTGGTAGGGCTGGCTACGTTACAGCTAAAGCTTGAGTATTCTCGAAAGACCAACCATTTGGCCAAGATTGCTACTCTAGTGTATATGTGCTGAGTACGGCCTCCGGCCCCAATGCGAGCACAATTCACAATCAGATAAGATATCTTCACGTGAAGATAGGCCCCGACAACATCCGTGCTATAGTCGAAACGTCATCACCTTCCACAATTCCCTGATTCCAGATTCCAGCTGAACATTCATTCCTATTAATCCCCCCAACCTACTCCCACAATCCCACCACCTCAATCAACACGCCTACGCCCATTGAAGCTCCAAGACCCCACTAAGAATACACCCAAGCTGGCATCACAACCGCTACACCACCGCCTCAAACACCTCACCCGCCTCCTCCAACCCCAACTCCAACCCCAACCCCACCGACCCCTCACCACCACCACCACCACCACCGCCGCCACCAAAATGTCCCAAGCAGTAACAAAAGCAACCGCACCGTGGTCCCCCCTCCTCAAATCGCACCTAACCGCCAGCAAAAGCAAATCCTTCACCCTCTCCACCGTGACCCATCACCCGGCCTCCGGGCTGCCCGTCCCGCGCTCCCGCACCTGCGAGCTGCGCGGCTTCTTCCCGGCGGTGCTCAGCCTGCACCCCAGCGCCGCCGAGGCGCTGGACGCGCAGGGCATCGGCCGGCTCCCCCACGGACTGGAAAGCGACATGCCCGTGTTCACGACGGACATCCGGATGGCGAAGGTGGGCGAGTTGGGGGTGAGTGGCGGGCAGGTGGAGGGGGTGTTTTGGGTCGAGGAGGTGCAGGTGCAGTGGCGGGTGAGGGGGGGGACGGTTGTTTTGGGGGGTGGGGAGGAGGAACAGAAGGGGAGGGACGGGGTTTGGGACGGGGTTAGAGGGAAGGATTCCGGGCAGCAGGGTGAAGGGGAAGGGGAGTGGGGGTGGGAGAGGATGGTGACGACTTATTTCGCGAGTCATTCGCCGGTTATGCGAGGTATTTTTCCTTTCTTTTGGTCGGGGGTGGGATTGAGAGGGTAAGGGAGATGATGGGCTAATGGGTCACTTGTGGATGCAGGCACGTTTAGAAACCCGCCGCCGGGTGAGCCGCGGTCAAAGTATCCGGAGACTTCGGAGCTGAAGATTGGGCAGAAGGTTGAGGATTTGAAGGACCCCGTTGCGAGACGGAATTTCCGCGTCGTGGTTATCAAGCCCGAGGAGGTGGAGATGTTGGATCTTTCCAAGGCGCCGGATGCTGTGCGCAAGAGGTGGACTGTTGTGCGGGATGGGGATACTGAGAAGTGGGAGGAGGTCGAGCTGTGGCCTTGATTTCCTTGAGATTGTTTGGGGAGGTGATTGGCACAAAGAGAGTGTCTTCTGGGAAGGCTCTAGTTCTTTGTGTTGACAACGGATTCACGAAAGATGGGGAAAGGTTCAATGACTCTTTCAGAAATCTACTGCTGAAACCATTGTCGCCTTTGTCCAGACAAAGGCATGTCTTGTGCCCCGATATAGCTCGGTCGAGTTGGGACTGCTATGCCTTCAGGTTGTCCCGATATAGATCATCGTCGTCTCAGCTCCTTGTATTCGAGTCGATTCAATGAGCCATCATTGTAGATATCCTCATGCTGAATGCTCGAGTAGCTCTATCTTCCGGATATATAGAATGGCGGCCGGGACTCGCACCGGATATTGACAGCAATCCCACAGCCAGCTAGCTACTATCATCCCGCGATTCCAATCACTATAGCTTTTTACCCCAACTCCATAATAGCCTATTCCTACCTTCGCAATCAGTTGATCCATGGCCCGAGTCATAAATACAGGACCCGGAGACACCGGTGCCAAGGTTGCTGGAACGGCCCAGAAGAGGCAGACTAGATCGACCACCAGCACACAGAAGACTGCACAGGTAACCACTGGGCCATCGACTGGAACGGTGCCCACCGCTGGAAAGCAGGCTGCTCAGCCTACTGGCCCAGTGGCCGGTCCATCAACCACAAGAGTGCCTGCCGCTACAAAGCAGGCCACTCAACTTACGGGCTCAGTAGCTGGGCCCTCGACCGGAAACGGGCCTGCCGCTACAAAGCAGGCTGCTCAGCCTACTAGTTCAGTGGCCGGACCATCGACCGCAAAGGTAGCTGCAAAGACAGCTGCGAAGAAGAAGAAAAAGGTTTGTTGCGCATTGTCTGACAAAGAAGCTGTCTTTCGCCATGCCTGTACTAACTGTTGCAATATCAGTCCACGCGTGGTAGACCTAGAAAAGCATGCTCACCATGTCGCCGCGCCAGAAAGAAATGCATACATATGGGAGAGGAGGATGAGGATGACGAAGAGGAAGAGGAAGAGGAAAATGATGATGATCAGAAGAAGCTTTCTGAAAAGGCGAAGGGTAAACAAAAGATGAAGAGTGCCGCTGATGATGGCGGTGATGATGGTGATGGTGATGATGATGGCGGCGACGGCGACGATGATCAGAAGCAGGTGTCTGAGAAGGCGAAGGGCAAACAAAAGAGAAAGCGTGCCAATGACAATGACGATGACGATGACGATGCTCCAGGCACGAAACCAGCGAAGAAACGGGGTCGGCCTGCTAAGAATCAAGCAGCTGTTGCTGGTCCTTCAGGGAGTGCTTCTGCAGCACCTGCAAACTTATCCAACCCACTGACGGCTGCCGGGCTCATCGTCACACACCAATACATGAGTCAGCAATTGGGCCAGCGACTCGACAATGCCGAAAAGAAATGGACAGATGCCATGGATGCCATGATGGAGGCCAAGGAAGCTTTGGATGCCTGGAAAGACTTCTACTTAAAGCACAAGGAATCGCCCAGTTAGCCAATCTCGGGAGGCCTCAGCTCAGCAGCTGAGCTCAATTAGCATGTATAGAGCATATTTTTTGCGGAGCAATAGAGTTCGTTCATTTGTTTCACTTGGTGCCTTGGGTTAGCTCGACTATCAGAACTCAGAGGCGAAATTGTGGCTGATTGAAGCCTATGATTCGAATAATGTTCGGCAAAGCCGAAATTACTCGGCATAACACTGGTGGCTTGCACATGACGAAGCTGTGTTCCAGAGGACGATCAAATAATGCACGGGCAAAAGCGTCCAGCAAAGGTTGTGTGATCCGTAGAAAGTTGGCAAGGTATCGTTTGGACCGCATGCTCTCTTGCGGGACATTTTCTGAAGTACTATGTCGTGCGTCGTGACCGGTGGGCGGATCGATAAGCATTAACATCTCGTGCTCGATACCGTACCGGTATGTTCACCAACCAAGGAATCACCGAAGGACATGTCATCGCGGCCAGGGGGTGTTACCTCCCTTCCATTTTCGAAGGATCACACAACATAAGAACCACCGAGCCAACCAGCTACCGGTTTCCTGACTTGGGGCGATCGGCATTTCCACCTAGTCAAGCACAGAAAAAAAAGACGGAAGCTAAACATCTGATAGACTGGAAGACATGTTAACTTAACAGCTACGTGGGTTTTGATCGTCGGCTTGAAACTCATCCCTAAGGAGGGGAGCTGGGAGGGTATAATGTTCGGATATAAGCAGCACGGTGAGGATGCTAGCGCATCCCCGCCGTCATCCGCCGCAAGGTGCATATAGACCGTTACGTGTCATGACTCGCTTGGGTAAAGTCGCCGTTGCCATAATCAAACAAAGCGACCATTGCGTTCGGATCTCCCCTGCTGGCTGCATCGTTCATGGATTCCTTGCTTGTTCGACAGTCATAGTCATCGGCACCAGGCAGGAGGAGGAGCGGAACGGTTGGACAAGGTGCATGCTGGTTTCCAACTCGCTTGTGGTCGCCGAGGCACGTGCTGCCACTCTAGTGCAATTGAGTTGTGAGACTTCAGTTGTTTGAGATTAATGAACGGTCAGGCTTCGAGAAAACATCAAACCTCAAACATATGGAGGGTCTCATTTTCTAAAAGGTACTCCGTACAGTCCTCCGTTTTCTGTCGACCAGTGTTGCGGCTGAAGATGCGAGTCAGCGACTTTACTGGAGGGGAGTCAACGGCCCCCATTAATGAATCAGGAACTAAAGCAAGCAGTGGCAGTGGAAGTGAGAAGTGGAAGGAACCGTAGCGGTACTTCATTAGCGGCTGTTCACCGCTTGTCCATCGCTTGCAGGGAACATGGATGTGATTCCATCTCGGAGTCGATTGTTCTTGGAAGGAAAGCGACAGGAAAAGGAGCAGTAGTAATACTCGTAGTAATACTCGTAGTAGAATTTCCCAGCCATCACATGGTCAACAACAGTACTCCGTAGTAGTTGTAGAGAAAGGGAAGGAAGCTTCCGTCCTGTCCGAGTGGCCGGAAGGGAGGAGATGTACAGTACAGTACAGGTAATCATACGGGCCCAGTTCACAGACCCACGCTTCGGGCTTCACTTTTCGGGGACGTCACTTTTAGCTTCCTCTGTAACTTCTTCCCGCCAAACCTACCGGTCTTCATTCTTACTCTCTTTTCCTTTGGCTGTTGCTCTCTCTGGCTCTGCTCTCTCGCTCCTCTCCCTCTCTCATCCTGAGTCCTTTTCACCAGCATTCCCCCCTCCCTTCTTCCCCCTCTCCCCCCTCTCTCCTTTCCCCTCATCTTACTGCTCTCACTCTTTTCCCCCCCACTCATCTTGCTAAAATTCTGTTCTTATTCATCTTTTGTTTGATGTTATTGTTTGCTTTAATCTAAATCTCCCGTCCGCTAATTTAGTGCCACACACCTTCGCGTGCACTAGTCCCTGACCCATGGAGCCATCATTGTAAGGGTCTTATTAGAGTAGCTCGCCCAGGCTCAACCTCATCATCATCATCATCATCATCATCATCATACCGAACCTTCTCTCCTTTATCGGCCATTCCTAACGTTCTCGCGACGAGACGACCTACCATTGTACCGTCCCCCTTTCATCGCTCCTGGCCGGTCAACAGGGTAGCTTCTAAATCCCGGGGACTATCGCGCGGTCCCACAACCTTCCAGATCGACCTCGGACTCGGAAGTACATATCCGAGGGCCGAAGTGCACTTTTCACCCCTTTCCCAAATCAAAAACACCAATCCACACCATGACCACCGGCGAACAGATGGACGCTCTGGGAGCGTTTTCTTATCTGTCGAACAATGCACCCACTTGGATTGGCCAACTTTCTGATCTAGCTAATCACACTGCCGCGAAACACGCTGAATACGCCAATGCCTACAAACGACACGCCGCCCAGAGAATCCGCCGCCGCAGGAACAGCTCCATCTGCTCCATTCGCACGGATGACTTGAACTCGACACTTTCCAACACCGAGAGCCCGACCCTCTCATCTGGACCTGCAGCTCGAGAAGGAACTGCAATCACCACTCCGAATACCTCCCAAAATCAGCCGAATTCGAACCCCCGGAAACGCGGAGCCGACGAGGCACCCTCGGTGGACTCGAGTGATGGGGACATCTTCGTCAGTACACGGCATAACCTCATCATCGAGTATGATGGACACACACAGAAGACCTTGGAGGAAATGGTCCGCAATATTGGGACTGCCCGCAATAACATTCGAAAAGGAAAGTTGGCACAGCTGCGCACGCCCGGATATCGCAGTGCCATGCTGAGTCGCGGTCCAAGGATGTCCCCAATCACTGCCTCGCTTGCAAGCCCTATCTCAACGGAGGATGACCTTTTGGCCAGCATCCGTAATGCTCGGAGACAAGCCCCCCCGGCGCCCCGAGCCCCGGCCGCGTCGCAGGCATCCCCCTTTGATGACGCAGAGAAACAGCTGGAGGTTGTCCATGGACTGTGTGAAACCGCCGCCTACCATTTCCTCCGGGCGGGCGACTGTGCAGCAGAATTAAGCACGGTAAAGCAAAAGCTTCAGAGCTTGCTCGACCTGGCCACCAGAGAAGTACACCGACTCAAGGCAGAGCAACCACACGGGGCTGAGATGCCGGAGAAGAAAGTACCAACGCCTGAGCCACTACCTGCCCCAACAAAGACAACCACGGACGGCGGCCATTCCGTAACGAAGATGGATACCATTGAGGTGGATGACGGATCTGACTCGGTCGAGTCCATTGACTTGACGGTCTTTCGATCCAGCCGGATCCGCCGATAGAAAAACAAAGGTTCAAAAATTGAAACACAGCATTTGGCGGGGACACTCATTTTACAGCATGCAACGGGGGTAAAACAAGCATTCGTTCTAATCTTGCACCGGCGATGATACCACTGAACCAACCACACATACCAGCGATTCCTTTTTCGATTTCCCTTGGGACTGATGCACTTGCCCAGCGTTCTTCCATATATGCAAGCGAGCGTGGCTGTCATCTAATCAATCAATAGCGTGGTCTGGTCTTAGCATCATGGAGTTTAGCCTTTCCTCTCCTTAGTCTAGCATTTACATAAGTTACAAAGTTACTTGACATGTGCCTGGCATCAATCCAATTTCCATCAACCATATTCTACTGTATCTATCAACCCTCATCTACTTTGTAATATAAGCGACCACTCTATCTCACCCTAGTAGTGCACCCGTTCCCCGATCCCAGTCTCAAACCCGACCGACTTAGTCCAGTAACGAAAAAAAAAAAACAAAACCCACCCGAACAATACCGGGCTCCATCCACCCGCATGATCGGGCTCCACTCGTCCACGGCAGATTTGAACAAAATCACATCATTGGCTAGAGGTAATCATCATCTGCAGCCTGCCATCCGAGCAGAAACAAAAAAAAAAGTGACAGGGATCTTTGATGATTTAGCAAGAGGAGGGGGGGAGCAGGGAAGCCACTCCCGGATGACGGATGACGGCTGATGGCTGACGGCTCGGGGCAATCAAAACCTTCGACCTAAACCGTCCTAACCCACATAAGAATGTTTGGCATTGACTATGTGCTAAGGAAAGCAAGCTTCTTTGACTCGTGTCCCGATGGGCCAATCATGGGGTCGTGGGGGGTGGGAATCGGGGGGGCTATCGGGGAGGGAGATGGTTCGGGAGGTTTGGATGGGTATAGGGATGGGGATGGGGGATGGGTGTGTAGGTACAGTACTCTCAGTAAGTGAGGTGTTGTGTGGTAGGATATGCTCTGCAGAAGTGGCGAGCTTGGTGGTGTTACCTTGGTTGTTGGGGGAATTCGGGGAATGGTTCTTTGTTGTGGATAGGAAGATTTGGGGTTGGATGGTCTGTGGTGATAGCGAGATCGGGAGGGTGCCTTGGGGACTCGAGGGAGGAAACTTGGAAAGCTTTGACTCTGGAAGAACAAGTGTGAGTGCCAGCCTGGAGAGAGTGGACGGTATTGTACGTACTTCTTTAGGGCGATCGGGGAAGTTACTAAGGGTGGGGATGACAGGTACGTAAAGGTAAGTTTAGGGGGGCGCTAGACCTAGAGGGGAATAAGTTCGTGGTCGAGACAGCGGCCGCTGCCGGGCTGGTGGGTGGCTCGTGAGTGGGTTAGCGAAGTTGGCGATCGATGTCGGAAAGGCTTTGTGCAGGGCAATCATGACAGCAGTACGTTATTGATGGACTGAAGTCAGGATCTCGGATCTCTTGTTTCGCTTTTGAGTCGTTGGAAATTCGGTTGAGTTGCCTGTTATTCGATTCAATTCACAATGACATGGTGCGTGAGATTATCGACCGTGCTGCTGTGCATAGCATCTGTCGCATCACCCAGCCTGCTATAGGAGGCTGGTGTTTTCACCCATCTCGGACTGGAAGTCGAATGATGGGTGCAGTCGCTATCTCAAATATCTTCGAGTCTCTCGCGTTGGGTCAACTGAGGCTTTGCGATGATTTCTTCCACAGCATCGAGGGAACTCTCGAAATAAATCCCAACAAGGCATCGAACCAGTACAGTGCATCCATAAGCTTTATCGTCTTGCATCTATCTAATACATAAAGGGCCGATCTTATCTGATCTGGTACCTAATCTCACTTTCTGTCTTACCTACTCAGTACCCTTCCCTAAATCTTGATCTTTGGACTAAGCCACCTGGCCTATTGGCCCGACCTGAATGTGGCCCTGTTCTGCGAGCTCTTGTATCACGCAAAGCTTGCTGATTAGCATCTCTGCTTGGTCCCGGATGGTTAAGAGGTACGGGCGAGGCAGGTTTGTAGAATGGAAGCTTGTGGAAGAGGTTGATAGGCACATGAATAAGAGGACCACGGCATGCGCGTTGGAGGGTCATTCATAATACACCTGCGTCAACCACTTGCAAATGACCCCATGCTGCTATCTGATGATGCTCACATTCGGCTCTTAGGCCCTTTGATAATGAAATGTGATGAAAGCTCGTGGTCTGCTTGTACTCTTGGAATCTGGCTTGCGAGCACAATATAAGGTAGACACCAGCAATCCACCACCTTGAAAAGAGCCAAGGACCCATGCACATGACCAGGTCATTCATCGTACACTGACAGGACTCATTCACCAGACCGTTGAACTGGGGTGGTACAGCCCATCAGACGCGGACCGGTGAGGGGCGGTGGTGCCTGCCATTCCGACAACCTACAGCAGGACTGTCTCTCATCTAGAGTCAATTCACCCCTTCCAGACGACTACAACCATCTATTGTCATTTTCTGTCAATATCGTATTTTTCACCAGCATATCTATTGTTATCCAACCCCTCCCCCCGTTCCCCCGCCCTCACGTCCACATATCCTTATCAAATCCTCCTATAAAACGCCTAGGTCCACCATCTGATGTGCACAATCTTCATCTAGAACATGGATCTAGTTCATCTTAGTTCTTCCACACCAAAGAACGTCCGCGATGAGCAATCGGAAGTTCCACGTCATAATCGTGGGCGCATCGATCGCGGGCCTGACCCTCGCTCACTGCCTCTCCAGCGCCAATGTCGACTTCACAATCCTGGAGGCTAGGGCTAGTCAGATCACTCAAGGTACTGGGCTCGTTCTGCAGCCAAATGGAGCCCGGATTCTGGACCAACTGGGATTATATGATAAGGTACTGCGCCAGGCAGCGCGCATCGTGTCGTACACAACATATTTCGACAGTGGGCGCCTCCTTCTGGACATTGACACTCGGCATTTGACTTCTCGGCGGTAAGATCTGATTGACGTGCTTCTTGTTGACTGGGGCTGATCTGGAGGTAGGACGGGCTATCCGCTCTCCATCATCTCACGGCAAGCGTTGTTGAGTATCCTCTTCGACTATCTACCTCGCCAAGACCGTATTCGTTTCAACAAGAAGGTTATTCAAGTGACTCCATCCGCCCGGGAAGTCACTGTTCACACCGCCGATGGTTCACAAGTCTCCGGGGATATAGTGGTTGGGGCAGATGGTGTACACTCCATTGTACGCTCGCAAATGTGGCAATATATCCAATCTAACAGACACGCTGCTCGGTTTTTTCTGGCGAGGGAGATCCCTCAGAAAACATCGTTTGCTGGAGTCTTTGGCACTGCCGACCCTGTTCCAGGACTCAAAGCGGGCGTAGTCTACCGTACATTTGGAGTTGGATGGGTCATGCTCATCATGGTTGGCAAAGATGCGCAAGTTTTCTGGTTCATATCTATAGCATGGCCGCATACGAGTCGGCAGGCTTGGAGACGTCAGCAAGGGAAGACGAGCGTCGCACCCCTCATGGCACCGTTCCTCGACAAACACGTCTCCGGCGAGGTCACTTTCATGGAGATATACGACCGCACAAGTTCGTTCACGTTCGTTCCGCTCGAGGAGTCTTTCCAGAACCAATGGTCAGCAGGCCGTTTTGCATGTATAGGAGACGCTGTGAACAAGGTAGGCAACCGTACTCAGCCGTACCAAAAGCACTCAAGGGAACTGACATGTTTGTAGACGACTCCCAACATAGGCCAAGGAGCAAACTGTGCCATAGAGACGGCTGCTTCCGTGGGAAATTGCATCGTGCTAGCCAGCAAAACCGATGCGCCCTGGACGGAAGCCTACCTGGAGTCACGATTGCAGACTTGGGAGAACAAGTACAGAGGCAGAATGAGGCTGTTTTCGTGGGTATCGCACTCAGTCGCACGCGTAGAGGCAGGTGGTAATTGGTGGCTGAGACTCCTTCGATCTTACTTCTGTTACTACCATTCCGCAATGGGGATTGCGCTTCTCGGTGATCTAACACCACAGACTGCACAAGTACAGCATCTCTCTTTACCTTCGCGTCGACCAGCTGTTCCAAAGAGTCGGAGTGACCCGCAGGAGAGAAATTGGAGTGTGCGGTTTTCAGGAGTGCCTGTTGTGTCAACCATGATCGTGGCATTGCTGTTCATTGTCCAGTCGCTCACCAGACCGAAGGACGGTGGGGTAAATTAGCTGGCTTGGCCAGAGCCACATGGCTCTAATAAAACAGGAGCTGAACTTGCATCAGGGAAATTTTTTTTTGCGCGATATGATTTCCGATGGGGGCGATATAACAGCTGAACGAAGGCAGCCGTATTGTTTTGAGGCGGCATGAAGCGAAAAGAGATTTGGGTCGCTTCCCGCTCCGCCAGTTGAGCCCACTTGCGGGATTTACCAAAGCCACTGATCTCAGTCTCGATCCAGCATCAGGTCCAAGCTGCTTTGGTGACTGGTTCGGATTAACCCCTCAACCTCTCACTCCGCATGTGGTATCGATGGCAATCTACTGAGCCCTGCAAAAAATCTCGCATGGCAGCTGCATAGCAGCGAGAGCATGGTTGACACATGACAGAATGTGACCCCAAGTATAAAGAGCAAGCAAAGCACAACACGCTTTTGACCGTGCTACTCTCCTTCAGCCTTCTCTCTTTCATCTACATATTTGGTGCCTGCTTTCCTCAGAGGCTCTCTATCCTCTAGTCCAATATGGCGCAACAACGACCCAGCTCGCCAAAAGCAGAGGCAACCCGCCTGCGCTGGCAGGAGGTAGACGAAGAGACTGGTCTCCAGCCCAAGAAACCGCTTCCAGAGCTCTCGAGAACCATGTCAACCGTGTCAAATAACTCTCAGATGTCTGTGCGAAGTCGTAACCGGAGGGCAACCGTTGACCCTTCACTCTCATTGCCAATTCATTACCGCACTGTGTGAGTGCTTTCTCTTGATGAATCCTGCAAGCATGATTCCAGCAGAGAAACTAACAATCGCCCTTGCAGCTCCTTTGACATCGATGAAGCAAGAGAAAAAGAACTTGCTGAGACCGCCAGAACGAAGAATAATGTTGTGACAGGTAGACATCTTCAACTTTGAACTTGTTGTCCCGCGGGTTGTCGCTGACTTGCAATCCTTTTCTAGACCTTTCAAACCTCGACTGGCATCAAATTTCAACCGAAGAGCTACAGAAACGATGGAAAGTCGATATATCGCAGGGACTCTCGCGCGAACAAGTTCATCAACGCCTGCAGGAATATGGGAAGAATGCTCTGTCGCCGCTGCCACACCAGTGGTTCTGGCAGATATTCGGTTACTTCTTTAAAGGCTTCGGGGCCATCCTCCTTATAGGAAGTGTTCTGGTGTTTGTCTCATGGAAGCCTCTCGGCCAACCTCCAGCTATAGCAAATCTTGCGTTAGCTATCGTTCTACTTGCTGTGTTTTTCATCCAAGCTGGGTTTAATGCGTGGCAAGATTGGTCATCGTCACGAGTCATGGCTTCAATCACTGCCATGTTACCGGAAAGTTGTCTTGTCCTCCGCGACAGCTCACTCACTGTGGTCTCTGGACCAGAAATTGTTCCTGGTGACGTGGTGCATCTCACGGCTGGAACCAAGCTGCCTGCTGATCTGCGCTTGGTCGAAGTCTCGACTGACGCAAGCTTTGATCGTTCGATTCTGACTGGTATGCTCCCCCGCAACATATTGCAGGCAGCTTGTGCTAAAAGGCTTCTGAAGGTGAATCCGCCCCGATTAATGGAACGGTCAGTTCCACGGATGACAATTACCTCGAGACACACTGCATTGGTCTGCAGGGAACACACTGCGTGGCTGGCAGTGCCGTAGGCGTCGTCGTCTCCACTGGTGACTCGACTGTTTTTGGTCGTATCGCCAAGCTGACGAGTGAGCCCAAGAAAGGCTTGACCACCTTGGAAAAAGAGATCCTGCGCTTCGTGTCGTTCATTGTCGCGATCATGCTAGCTATGATCATTCTTGTTGTTGGGGTCTGGTATGTTTTGCCTCAAGCGCAGCATGTTGCTCGATACTCATAATCCATAGGGCTGGATGGCTTCGAAAAGAACATCCTGACTGGATCAACGTCCCTACTCTGATCGTCGACTGCGTGAGCGTTGCTATCGCATTCATTCCTGAAGGCCTTCCAATCGCCCTTACTGCGAACTTGACAATCACCGCCAATCTCATGAGCAAGAACAAGATTCTGTGCAAATCGCTGAAGACTGTGGAGACTCTGGGTGCTGTCTCTGTAATCTGCTCAGACAAGACTGGAACGTTGACAAGGGTTTGTCTCACGCAATTGCCAAAACGTCACTATTCACTAACCTTGCGCCCTACTAGAACAAAATGTTTGTTACAGAGTGTGCCATCTCGACAACCTGCTTTAGCCCTGATTCGGCAAGGGATGAGATGAACAGGAAGGGCAAGAAGAGCGGAGTCCACCAGCTTCGCGCCATGGCCGGTCTCTGCAATGCAGCTGAATTCGATGCCGCATCAATGCAGCTCCCGCTCCACGAGAGAGAGATCCATGGGAATGCGACCGATCAAGCTGTCCTGAGGTTATCCGAATGTTTTGGATCGGTAGCTAAACTGCGCCAAACTTGGAAAAGGACTTATGAGCTGGCTTTCAATAGCAAAAATAAATTTATGGTACGGACATTCACACTCGCTGAACCAGAAGGACTGGGACTCGCGATGTCTGCTGCAGAGTCTGCTCAGTTCAAGCGCAGCGATATGTAAGTTGGCAACGCGCACTCCTTTGGGCAACATACTTACAGTCTCTGGGTAGTCTCTTCACGATTAAAGGTGCACCAGACATTCTCATCGACCGATGCTCGCGATTCATTGATCTGGATGGCAGCGTGCAGCCACTGGAAGCACGGATGCTGGCTCGGATGAGAGAAGTCAAGGACCAGTGGTCTGCAGAAGGAAAGCGCGTAATTCTCCTCGCGCGAAAAGTTCTCTCTTCCGCTGAGATCATGTTTCAGCCATCCTCACACGAGTATGAGACTGAAATGCTGAACCAAGCGAAGGCCGGGCTAGTTCTAGTCGGCATGGTCGGTATCGTCGATCCTCCGAGGGAAGAGATTCCAGAAGTCATCAGTACCCTGCGACGTGCAGGGATTCGGATCTTCATGGTGCGTATTCCGCGCAGAGATTGAGATCTGGGCTGGATTGTGCTGACTGCGTCTTTACCAGGTGACCGGTGACTTTGGCCTCACAGCGCTGGCTATCGCGCGGCAATGTGGAATTGTCAGCACAAACGGTCTCGTTGATGATGCGACTGCTCTTAAACGATCAACGGACTCCGAGAAGGCCTCCAGTGCTCCTACTGCCTCCGCGATCACTATCAGTGGGGCTGACCTTATGAGCCTCAATGATCACCAATGGGAACAACTCTGTCAGTACCAGGAAATCGTCTTTTGGCGAACCACTCCCGAGCAAAAGCTTCGTATTGTTCGCGAGTTCCGCGCCAGAGACGAGATTGTCGGCATGACTGGCGACGGTGTTAACGATGCGCCGTCTCTGAAGGCAGCTGACATCGGCATCGCATTGGGCAGCGGGTCCGACATTGCCATCGAGGCCTCTGATATGGTTCTTCTGGAGTCTTTCTCTGCCATTGTCGAAGCGGTGCAGTACGGACGGGTTGTATTTGACAATTTGAAGAAGACAATTGTCTATCTTCTCCCTGCGGGCTCGTTCTCCGAGTTCTGGCCTGTCTTTTGCAATGTCGTTTTTGGGCTTCCCCAGGTCCTCTCATCCTTTCTGATGATCATCATCTGGTAAGCTCCTCGTCCTCTTACCATCAGTCGCATTAGCTAACAAGCTCAATCCGATCAGCTGTTTCACAGACTGCGCGGCTGCGACAGTGCTCGCCTACGAGAAACCCGAAGCCGACGTCCTCCTCCGGCCGCCACGCAAGCCCAAGCAGAACCGCCTTGTGAACTGGAAACTCATCTTCCACGCATACGGCGTTCTTGGCATTATCGAAACCGTCTGCTCATTCGCCATGGCCTTCTGGTACCTTGAGCGAAACGGTGTCCCTTTCTCCGTCTTCTGGTTCAAGTTTGGCAATTACCCCTCCGACATTGACCAAGACTGGCTCACAGCCCGCCTCAACGAAGCCAGCTCTGTCTATTTTGTCAACCTCGTCGTGATGTAAGTTGCCTCCTGCTCCGGCTCCATCACTTCTCGCCTCTTTACTCTTCTCGTTCCGACAACTAACAGCGATGTCAAAACCAGGCAATGGTTCAACCTCATGGCCGTCCGCACCCGCCGCCTCTCCATCTTCTCGCACCCACCGGCCTTCAACAAGAAAACCCAGAATTTGCTCCTCTTTCCCGCCATCTTGTTTGCCCTTGTCATGGCCATTTTCTGGCTGTATATCCCCCCGCTCCAGCGCACGTTGAACACGACTAGCGTCCCCGCGATCCACTACTTCCTGCCTGCGGCATTCGGGGTGGGGATCGTGGTGCTCGATGAGCTGCGGAAGGCCGGAGTGAGGCGGTGGCCGAGCGGGCTTCTGGCTCGATTCGCGTGGTGAGACTGTGTTGCTTTTTCGCTTTGCTTTGCTTTTCCGGAGGTGGTTTGGGGGAGTATTGGTTAGAGGCTAGACTACCTACATGTTCATGCTTGGTTGGTTGGCCTACCGGCGGGTTACACCCGGTGGTGCATGTTGCTTCCGATTTAGACCGGGATCTCTGCTTTTCCCGAATGTGGTAGACTAGCTGCAGTGGTCAGGTGGGTAGAGACTCTGTCATACCGGGTTACTTACTAATTATGGGCTATGGCTGGGCCGGGAGGGAGGGGTTGTGATTTATCTTGTCTTTCGTTTCTTGATGTACATAAATACATACTTACATATGATATACGATAATCGCATAGTCGACATCTCTGTCGTTGTATACCAGAGTAGACTC